GCTCTTCCAGGACCCCCGGGCAGATACCCAGGAGGGGTCTGAGTTCCCCAGCAGCAAGGGCAAGGATGCGACAGGAGAGGCAGCTGGGGACTTGCAGAGAGCGTCTCCTGTGCCAGCCGTTCCCACGGACACCAACCTGGCAGCTTCTACACTGGGTGAAGCTGCAGAGGAAGAGGAGCACTGCCCACCTCTCACTCCTGTGTCACAAGAGGAGGAGGCAGCACCGGCACCAGCGTCTCCTGTCTGTGGCGAGGAGGAGGCAGCACCACAGGCACAGAGGCAGGTACCTGCCCTGCTCAGTCCAGATGCCTGTGAGATGGCTGCAGAAGAAATGGCCATGAACAATACTGGACTGTTCCAGGAAGCCAGCCAGCAGCTGGTGGAACCCTGGGACATGACCCAAATCCTGGATGTGGCAGTGGCCAAAGAGGAGAAAGAGAGGGAAGAGGGCACTGAAAAAGTGCTGTCCCAAGTGGAAGAGGTCACCGTACGCAACCTGTGGGTCAACCCCTCTCTCCCGGAGCTGTTCCAGGCCCCCCAGGTCGATATCGAGGAGGGGTCTGAGTTCCCAAGCCGCATGGGCATGGATGCAACAGGGGAGGCGGGCGGAGACCCGCAAAGCGTGTCTCCTATCACAGCCAGTCTCTTGGAGCAGGAGGAAGCACCACAGGCACAGAGCCACGCACCTGCCTTGCTCAGCCCTGATGCCTGTGAGATAGTTCTAGAGGAAACAGCCAAGCTTATCACAAGGGAGGTCCTGCTGAAGGCTGTTTCTGAGGTCCACGGAGCCGAGCAGCAGCCTTTGGAACAGCAGGACATGTCCCACATCTTGGATGTGACAGTGGAATCATTGACACCTGCAGCAGCTGGGGACGCTCAGTCTCCTGTGGCTGCAGAGTCTCATATGGAGACCGGCACAGCCTCTCCCATCCCAACAGCAGATGAGGCTGAAGAAGACAGGGCATCTTCCACATCTGGAGAACATCAGGGAGAGGCCAGCACAGCCCTTGTTTCCCCCAAAGCACATGAGGGTGAAATGACAGCTTCGTTGCCTCAGAAGGCTGCAGCAGTGGTTCGAGCACCCTACTTTGCACCAGGAGCAGGCGATGAAGGAGAGGCAGTGTCGACTCCCTTGGCTTGGGACTCTCGTTACCTGGTAAGTGAGGTGCCTGCGGCCAGTACTGGGGATCCTGAGGTGCTGGAGGCGAGCGCAGCTCCCGGGGTGTGTGTGGCAGGGAGATTCCCGCTGCTCCCTGTGCCAGAGCTTCTGGAGGAGCTGGAGGGGAGCAGTATGGCCCACAACAGGCCCGGGCTCGACATGCAAAGGAGAGCCAGCCAAGCGGGCTGCCTGCTGGGTAGCTCTGTGAAGAGAGAGATCCAGCATGAGGAGAGCAAGGGGCATCATTTGCCACCCAGGCAGAGATGGATGCCCAGTCACAGGCAGGTGATTGCCAAGGACAGGGTGGGACGTGACAGGGGTATGAGTCTTCCTCTGCCTGTGGCCAGCCACTGCTCCGTAAAGTCATCTTCTGCATTCCTGTTGTGTGGTTACAGGAGGTGCCAGGGACCTGGGATGAGGAAGCTGATGATGAAGAGTTTGAGAGAAAGGAAGAGGAGGAGTGGGAAGAGGCCATAGACAAAGAGCCGTCCGAAGTGGAAGAGATCACCATACACAGCCTCTGGGTCAACCCTTATGTCCCAGAGCTCTTCCAGGAGCCTCAGGCAGATATCCAGGAGGGGTCTGGCTTCCCCAGCAGCATGGGGAAAGATGTGACAGGAGAGGCAGCTGGGGACTTGCAGAGAGCGTCTCCTGTGCCAGCCGTTCCCACGGACACCAAACTGGCAGCTTCTACACTGGGTGTAGCTGCAGAGGAAGAGGAGCACTGCCCACCTCTCACTCCTGTGTCACAAGAGGAGGAGGCAGGACTGGCACCAGCGTCTCCTGTCTGTGGCGAGCAGGAGGCAGCACCACAGGCTCAGAGGCAGGTACCTGCCTTGCTCAGTCCAGATGCCTGTGAGATGTCTGCATTAGAAATGGCCATGAACATCACTGGACTGTTCCAGGAAGCCAGCCAGCAGCTGGTGGAACCTCGGGACATGACCCAAATCCTGGATGTGGCAGTGGCCAAAGAGGAGAAAGAGAGGGAAGAGAGCACTGAAAAAGTGCTGTCCCACGTGGAAGAGGTCACCGTACACAACCTCTGGGTCAACCCCTCTCTCCCAGAGCTGTTCCAGGACCCCCAGGTCTATATCGAGGAGGGGTCTGAGTTCCCCAGGAGCATGGGCATGGATGCAACAGGGGAGGCGGGTGGAGACCCGCAAAGCGGGTCTCCTATCACAGCCAGTCTCTTGGAGCAGGAGGAAGCACCACAGGCACAGAGCCACGCACCTGCCTTGCTCAACCCTGATGCCTGTGAGATAGTTCTAGAGGAAACAGCCAGGCATATCACAAGGGAGGTCCTGCTGAAGGCTGCTTCTGAGGTCCACGGAGCCGAGCAGCAGCCTTTGGAACAGCAGGTGCCAGGGACCTCGGATGAGGAAGCTGATGATGAGGAGTGTGACAGGAAGGAAGAGGACACAGACGAAGGGCTGTGCGAAGGGGAAGAGATCACCTCCTCCAGGTTCTGGGTCGACCCTTTGGTCGCAGAGCCCTTCCAGGACCTCCAGGAGGATATCGAGGAGGGGCCTGGCTGCTCCAGCAGCGTGGGCATGGATGTGGCCGAAGAGGCTACTGCAGGCCTGCAGACCATGTCTCCTACTCCAGCCGGACCCACAGACACTGAGTCGACAGCTTCTACATTAGCTGTAGCTGCAGAGGAAGAGGAGCACCATGCACTTCTCACTCCAGTGGCACAGGAGGAGGTGGCACCGGCACCAGTGTCTCCTGCCTGTGGTGAGCAGGAGGCAGCACCCCAGGCACAGAGCCAGGCACTTGCTCTGCTCAGCCCACACGCCTCTGAGATGATTCTAGAAGAAATGGCCAGGAGCATCACCAAACAGGTCCTGATCATGAATCTGGCTGTGGTCCAGGGAACCAGCCAGCAGCTGGCAGAACATCAGGACATGACCCAAAACTTAGATGAAGCAACAGCAGTAATGGAATCTGCGGGGACTGGGGGCACTGAGTCTCCTGTGTGTGGAGACCATCAAGGAGAGGCTGAAACAGGCATTATCTTACCAGAAACACAGCAAGAGGAAGTGGCAGCTTCATGGACTGAGATGCCTGTGGCAGAGGCTGGAGCATGCCACTGTGCCCCTGAAGTAGCCAACGAAGGAAATGCAGGAGCTACTGCCTCTGCTCGTGAATCTGAGCACCTGGTGAGCGAGGAACCTATGGCTGGCACCGGAGATACTGACGAGATTCAAGCAGGAGTCTTGCATGAGCTATCTGTGGCAGGGAGGTTCCCGCTGCTCCCTCTGCCAGAGCCTCTGGAGGAGCCGCAGAGGAGCAGCATGGCCCACACCAGGCACAGGCTCCACATGCAAAGGACAGCCAGCCTGCCTTGGCTGCTGGGCAGCTCTGTGGAAAGGCAGCTCCAGCAGCAGGAGGGCCGGAGGCCTCGTGCGGCCTTGCGGTGCAGACGGATGCCCAGTCGCAGGCAGGTGAGTGCCAAGGACAGGAAGGGAAAGGACAGGGGGATGAACCTCTGCCTCTGGCCAGCCACTGCTCCACCCAAGTGAAGCCTACTCACCTCCTGCATCCCTCTTGTGTGATTACAGGTGGCGCCAGGGACCTTGGATGTGGAAGCTGATGATGAGGAGTTGGAGAGAAAGGAAGAGGAGTGGGAAGAGGCCATAGACAAAGAGCTGTCCGAAGTGGAAGAGCTCACCGTACACAACCTCTGGGTCAACCCTTATGTCCCAGAGCTCTTCCAGGACCCCCAGGCAGATATCCAGGAGTGGTCTGGCTTCCCCAGCAGCATGGGCATGGATGTGACAGGAGAGGCAGCTGGGGGCTTGCAGAGAACATCTCCTGTGCCAGCCGTTCCCATGGACACCAAACTGGCAGCTTCTACACTGGGTGTAGCTGCAGAGGAAGAGGAGCACTGCCCACCTCTCACTCCTGTGTCACAAGAGGAGGAGGCAGCACCGGCACCAGCGTCTCCTGTCTGTGGCGAGGAGGAGGCAGCACCACAGGCACAGAGGCAGGTACCTGCCCTGCTCAGTCCAGATGCCCGTGAGATGGTTGCAGAAGAACTGGCCACGAACATCACTGGACTGTTCCAGGAAGCCAGCCAGCAGTTGGTGGAACCTCGGGACATGACCCAAATCCTGGATGTGGCAGTGGCCAAGGAGGAGAAAGAGAGGGGAGAGGGCACTGATAAAGTGCTGTCCCAAGTGGAAGAGATCACCATACACAACCTCTGGGTCAACCCTTACGTCCCGGAGCTCTTCCAGGACCCCCAGGCCGATACCCAGGAGGGGACTGGCTTCCCCAGCAGCAAGGGCAAGGATGTGACAGGAGAGGCAGCTGGGGACTTGCAGCGAGCGTCACCTGTCCCAGCCGTTCCCACGGACACCAAACTGGCAGCTTCTACACTGGGTGAAGCTGCAGAGGAAGAGGAGCACTGCCCACCTCTTACTCCTGTGTCACAAGAGGAGGAGGCGGCACTGACACCAGCTTCCCTTGGTGCTGATGAGCAGGAGGCAGCACCACAGGCACAGAGCCAGGCACTTGGCCTGCTCAGTCCAAATGCACAGGAGGGGGTTCCACAGGAAGCAGCCGTGCTCATCACAAGGGAGCCTCCGGTCCAGGGTGTGGATCAGGAAACCAGCCAACAGCTGGTGGAATATCAGGACATGACCCAAATCCTCAGTGTGTCAGTGGCAGCATTGACGCCTGCACCACTTGAGGACATTGAGTCTGCTGTGTCTTCAGAGCCTCAGGGAGAAGCCAGCGCAGCCGTTGCCTCCCCAACAGCGCCTGAGGATGAAGTGGCCCCTCCCTTGACTGAGATTCCTGCAGCAGAGGCTGGAACATCCCACGTTCCTCCAGGAGCAGATGCAGCAGCTTCTCCCTTGTCTCGGGACTCTCGGCGCCAGGTGAGTGAGGCGTGTGTGGTTGGCACCGGGGATCCCAAGGCCTTGGACGGCAGCTCCCAGGGGGTTTGTGACAAGGCTGTTTCCGGTGCTCCCTGTGTCATCCCACTGACATTGCCCCCATCCCCTGCCTGTGCTTTTGCTACCCTGCAGGGTAGGATCAGACGCTTTCTGAGGAAACACCTGGGCAAGGCTGTGGCTGTCATCCAGGAAACAAGGCAGCAGCAGGTGGAAGAGCCAGACGTGGCACAAAGCTTGCATGTGGAATTACCATCAATGTCGCCTGCTGTAGTTCAGGACAGCGAGAACCAGCCAGGTACTTCCCCGAGTTGGGTGGCACCCAGGCCAGGCCGGCAGCAGTGTGTGCATGGGTTCGGGTGTGTCCCAGCCTCCCCTCCACGGGCTGAGGGCTGCAAGCCTTTGGTGGAAAGCGCCACGAGGATGATCAGGGGGTTGGGGCACCTCCTGTATGAAGGCAGGTTGAGAAGGCTGGGGCTGTTCAGCCTGGAGAAGAGAAGGCTGCGTGGAGACCTCATAGCAGCCTTCCAGTATCTGAAGGGGGCCTATAGGGATGTTGGGGAGGGACTCTTCGTTAGGGACTGTAGTGATAGGAGAAGGGGTAACGGGTTAAAACTTAAACAGGGGAAGTTTAGATTGGATTTAAGGAGGATGTTCTTTACTGTAAGGGTGGTGAGGCACTGGAATGCGTTGCCAAAGGAAGTCCCTCACCTACAGCTCTTCTTCCCCCACAGGCATTGCCACTCTTCCAGACCCAGGAGCGGCCCCACGGCGACGACTGAACCGCTTCAGGAGAGTGCTGAGGTCTCTGCGCAAGGCTTTCCGTTTCTCCTGCCTCACCCCACGTGTGGAGGAGTAGCGCTCTGCTGCCAGCGCCAGGCCCAAGGGAGCTGCGCTGAGGATGTCATGCTGCAGCCTACACTTGTTGTGGGTGCTTTCTTGGGCCAATAAATAATAACTCTTTCTCCCTACCACCCCAGTGCTCGTCTCTGCCTGTATGTTGGTTGGAACATATTTGTGTAATTCATGGACCTCTCTATTTAATTAGCGTAAAACTACTGACTTCAATCTAAGCGGCTACCTATCTGTTGCAATTAGTTCTTGTTTGATAATTAATTGCCAACTGATGATTAAGGACTCGTTTACTGAGGTTCAGCAGCAATCAAGACATGTATGTAGTTCTCGGGGGATTTACTACGCAGTAACTGGTTTGTTGAATTAAATTCTTATTGGAGACCTTTAAACTGCGACCTGAGAAAACTTCTCTGCAGCCAGTGGGTCCTCTAAGTGCTTGCCCGTGTATCTGCTGCCATGGGCAGTGTTGCTCCTAAGAGGAGGAGACAGAGTGGATCCTCCTGGCTCACTGTGGGGAGTAACTTGCTTCCATCTGCAAGCTGAAGGTGAGGAAAAGCAGAATCTCAGGTCTTGGCAGAGTTGGTGGAGCAGCTCTGCCGACATAGGCTCCCAAATACCGTCTGTCTGGTCTGACAGTTGTGCTTCATCTTTGTCTCTCCGCTGATGCTCATCACATGTCTCACTGCAGAGACGCTGACACGAACGGAGCCTTTTTCTACTGAGACTTGTTTGCCAAGTGGCTTTGGCTTCTGCATGCAGGGTTTTGGGTTTGCCTTTTTTGACAATGTACTGGATGGTTTTGTTGAATTAAGTCTCTGTGGGTTTGTTTGCACATTTAGCCCTTGTGTTACGGTCTCTCTGGTCACCAAACCCCAACTTTCTCGATAGGCAGTATGAGCTATGCAAAATAGTTCAGGCACGCTACTACTATGCAAGCATAGAAATTCTCTCTTTTGCATTAGTCCACAATTAAAAGTAGGTTTTAGTCAGAGTTTCGATTCTGTTGTCTTTGGCCTGAGGCATAACTGAGATTTTACAGGGAGCCTGATTTAAATTTTGGCTTTATAAAATGTCTTAGTTTTGAAGCAAGTAACTAAAATATTTATGATGTGAGATACTCAGTAGTGGCTTTGCAATTCATTTTAAATTATTGATAGCACAGTTATCTAGAAAGGTCTAAATACCAGTGTCACAATGCTCTCCAGTGTTCACTAGCTGTAGAGCTGCATGACAAAAGTCCAGTTATGTTCCTCAGTATTTTGCTATACCGGGAATGTGGCCTGTAACTCCTCTGGGTTCTATTCGTGGCGTCATGGTCTCTCCAGCACAGGCCATAGATGACCTGGTTTCACCTATGGGACGCACAGCAGCAGGACTTAGAATCCCTCATAGCTATTTTTTTTTGACGAAAAAATAACCCTATGTGTCCTGTGTAGAATGAATTATATGCCAACTGGTAATGTTACCTCAGGGCTTAACTGCTCTGCTTAGCCTGTAGAAGCTTTGGTTGCTCATGACAGCCCATCATTTCAGCAGTTCACTTGTCCCACTTGGTTCTCAAATGATGTTATCTGAAGCTACAGGACTGGTTTGAGTTTGTGAAGACATTCGCTTATCCCTATGGCTATCACTTCCGACATGATACTTGAATCTTTGCAATAACTAAATGCCAGTGAATTTAGGATCTGGTATTCAAAGATTGGCCTTTCTTGACAACTAATTGACTTCTTTTGCAGTTTCCAAGGAGGTGAGTGACCATGTACACCCCCACTGCAGTATTTTACCTGTAGTTGAGGGTGGAGGGAGCCATCAGAACACTTGCAGTTGGAATTTCATGCTCAGGAGCTGTACTCTGAGCCAAAGTACATTTCCAGAAAAACTATGTACAACTTGATCCTTTGTGATTCTTTCCGAGTCATCAGCCCTGTAGGAACAAGCGTCTGCACTTGGAGGAAGCCTTTAAGGGACTGAGCTGGAGACACTACTGACGACAAGCAAAGAAAATGAAGTCTGTAGCAGACCCAGGGTCATCCTGAGATGCTTCTGTTGCTCATCCCTGTTCTTTTGCCTCAGGCTGCTTTGGACTAGTTTGACATACAGGTCTCATGTTGTGAAATGCTGAAGTAAGCAGATCTGTATCTGTGACAATGGAACCTGTTCCTGATTAGATCTTGGAGCGGTACTGTAATGCACTGTTCTTGATTCCTGCCTGGCAACTCGTGTGCCTTCCCTTTGGTTTCTCTGGTTTTACGTTCAGAAGCTCTTAGCCCCAGTCTCTGGGTACCCTGGGAATTACCAGGTGGTGTATATTGAGCTGCTATTTATACCTGGTGGGCTTGACTGTTGCATCAGCTATGTGCAGTCTGTATTTCCTCCTTCTTCTCCAGCAGTAGCAACCAGGCAGCAGAAAGCCAACTGTTATATTTGACATTACATGTACAAACTACGTCAAAATTCAGTGTTCAGACGGAGAAGTCGGGTACTAGCATCAACCAGCTTCCAAGGGCGGCTGTTCATGCCAGTGCCAGATCGAGCCCGCAGGGGGGGCAGCAGCGACCTCATGTTTTACTCTAGCAACGTGCTCAGCTGCTGGCATCCCTCTCCACCCGTGGGATTTGCCGCGGAATAAACAACTGCACGTTGTGGAGGATTAGCATCAGCCCTGAACTCAAACAGATTCAAAAGCGGACCAAAAACACAATTGTGTGACTAAGTTAAGCCTCATGGTATTTATTAATATATGTGTTTTAACCATATTAAAAGAAAAAGAGCTGCATGAGAAAACTCAGCTGCATGTGAATTTCCAATCTGTCACATTTACAACAGGTAAGTTTAATGGTAGATAACAATAGGCAAGAGAAAGAAAATATCCAGAATATGTGTACCTGAATGTACTGGGCAAGACTAACAGGAGAAGAAAAGTGGTTTTCTTTTTTTCCCAAATCTCTTCAGGAATCTTTCAAGGTTCAAGTTACTGTAACCATGACTGTAAGACTGTGCCTTTGGGTGGTTGGACCATGTGCTTTCCCAAGTGTGTTCTGAGTCTTTATAAAAACAGCCATCATGGTTACGAGGAGATTTTGAGTAAGAGGACGTGTCTACACGCAGGCGTGTCCAGTCAGACTAGGAAGTGCTGTCTTTATTTAGTATGAGAAGGCAAAAGGCATTCAGCTCCTGAAAAAGAGCCAGTACTTTGTGTGTCTTAAATCAAATTGCATTCACCAGCTAATTAAGGGATGGTTTTGATATGCTCTGAAGGGAGGCCTGTCCAGTTCTATACTTCTCAGCTAGAGGGCTCTGCGATACAGTGTGTGGAAGAGAAAATGGGTATGAAGAAAATAGCATGTGAGAAATTAAGACAGCCTCAGCAATGTGTGAATTCCAGGAGTACAGGACAAAAACTAAGTATCTCATATGATCAGATGGCAATTTACTCACTGATGTACTTTTGCGTTCATTTAGATAATTAATTTCTCTAGCCCCAAACTTTCTATCCCTCATGAGCATGGCTGTCATAGAACAATGTATATGCTTCTCAGAGTCTGGCTCATTGCAGTTGCAACTACAGGTGAGTTTTTGCTTCGGATTCCTAAAACTTTCTCTGTGTTTAGGAGCGCTGAGAGATTCTGTCTCTAGTTTATTCAGAATATCCTCGCCGTGTTATTCATAAACGTAATTGCTGGTATGAACTTAAGCCAAAGAAATATCCATCGTGTTTTACGTTGATAGCATGAGGCAGAAGTTACTCTGTGTAAAACTGCTTGTACATTTAACCAGCTCTGATTGATTGCGTAAGTTACTTTGGTTTGGCCACAGCGAATTCTTCGGGGTAAAGGGTAAAGTAGGGCACACAGTGAGAAAGTGCCCTTGCTTGATGCAGATCTAAAAACTCTAATTTAGAATTAACAACAAAGGCCTTTTATGGGATTGTCTCTCCATGCTCTGAAGGCATGCACTGAATACAAAATGACAGGAAAGATTGATTTTGGAGTCGAGATTCATAGAGTAGTTTGGGTTGGAAGGGACCTTTAAAGGTCACCTAATCCTGAGGGCTTTTCCTTAGCTGCCAGGATTGCAGATATTCCTTGGTTACATATAAATATATACATATAATGTATAAACATAGGTATAAATCCTGTAGCATTTATGTGGTCTTACACCATCTGTGTTCTTGAGTCCAGTAGTCAGTACTAACAGGATAACGTATGTTCAATATTGCATTTCTTTTGCCATAGAAGTGCATATTCCACAGCCAATATGGAGGGTTGAAAACATGCAGTAGGTTAAGAAAAGTAGTTCTACATGGTGAAAACAATAGGTAAGGTGAGTCTGGGATTTGTCTCACTCAGGGGAATTTTGGGGGGACTTTTTGTTGTTGTTTGATGGTTAAAGGGTCTTTATGTATTTACATGTGGGATATTTAGGTTAAAAAAAAGACTTCAGGAAAGCATTTCTATGGATATTTGCTGTGAGCAATTTGGAGCTCAGCTCTCCTTTGAAAGATATAAATGGGAACTTCTCTCAAAAGGGATTAGCGGGAGCTGCCCTTGAAGCTCACTGAAATCAGTGAAAATTCATTTATTTACGTGAATATGCTGTCCATTACGGGCTGCAGATTGTAGTGAGAGTCTTACATTGAATGTAAGAGAGCTCTCTTGCATTCCTGTCATTCATGTCACACAGAACTACTTATTGCGAGCTTACTAAATTCTGATTAAATCATGTTCTTTTTAGCATGACTCCTATAGGTCTGATTTCCCCAAGAAAGGAGCCAGTGGAGTTATGGTGGAACCTGTGGAAAAATCCCATAGTTTCCGTCGTTCTTCAGCATGCCAATATCAGTTCAGTGAAATAAGTTAAATAAGTTATTCAGGCCAGTCCTGGCCATACTTGCCATATGTCTTGCCCACAGAAGCTGTTCTTTGAAGCCTACTTCTGTAAGAGTTTGTCTTTTGTTCCAAAAAAAAAAACCCGCTATGTTTTGTCACAATAATCTAATTTCAGGAGGAAAAACACTGTGTTGTGCAGAGATGGGTATGTTCTGATTGGTAAGTTATCTGCATCAGACAGAGCTGTAACGCTGACTTCTACCTGCTTTTTCAT